ATTCCTCTTTTGGCATTTTCCCTTTCTTGGACTTTTACCCGGAGTTCCACAACACTTGGACACAATAACGCCCCAGATGACCTGACCTCGTTAAGGAAAAGTTCAGACTTGAAAAAGTTCCAAAGGGTTCCCCCCCCAAAAAAAAATAAAAAAGGGTACCTTCACAGTCCACGAAATATATCGTCACATATATATATATATATGCTCCAAAAACCTGGGACACAGGAACAATCCCATATGATCTATCCTCCTTACAAAGCTCCAAAACACAGTTAAGACAGTAACTCCCAATGGTTGACATCCTCCCAGAGCTAACGACGAAAGACAGAGGGAAGGAGGAAGAGACAAGAAAAAAAAAGAGAGCGAGAGCGAGAGAGAGAGAGAGGTTGATGCCGAGGAGCTAAAACAAGCACTTGATAACGAATATTATGAGAGAATGTACATATATGTATATACCATGTACTAAATCGTCGGCGGCCTACGTGTACAATGTCGGAGGTAATTGGCTACTTGAACACTGTCGGTGCTCAACGTGTACATTGTAAGAAGTCCACATGTGCATCATCAGAGGCCTAAGTGTACAATGTCAGGGCGATTGGCTACGAGCTAGGCTACCAGCCGGGCCGCCCGCGTCACCTTGTTTTGCCGGGCGGCCCGGCCGTGCAAGGACGAGGGAGGCTCCCAGCGAGATAAAAAAAACAATCGCAAGAAAAACGTGGAGAAATAAACTTGACAACTTCCTTGCCTCAGGGTAACATTGAAACCTCTACATTATTAAAACAAAAAAAATATATTTTCTTATTTTAAAACTTTTATTTTTTTGGCCCGGCCGGGCAAGTGGTCCCGGGCCCCTCTGGCAGCCTAGGCTACGAGTACATTTCGAAGCTCAACGTGTACACTGTGATTTCATTGAAGCCCTACGTGTTCAATACTGAGGTCTATGTGTACATTGCCGGAGATATATGTGTACATCGTCGCAGATCTGACATGTACACAGTGTATTTGGTGGCCCATGACGTTTTCCTTTGAAAAGGAACCGCCAGACGAGAGAAGGACACTGACACTGATAGAGGTACGCAGTACGCTGGCAATGCTGATATTCAATAACAACGGCGCAGGTTCAACTTCAGGCCCAAAAAGAAAAAGAAAAGAAAAAAAGACTTACGTATGCAACTATGTACTTCATGATTGCCGGACCAGCGCCTCTGGGCGCCGTCAGCAGCAGCAGCAGGCCTCTCTCTCTCTCTCTCTCTCTCTCTCTCTCTCTCTCTCTCTCTCTCTCTCTCTCTCTCTCTCTCTCTCTCTGTATCTGTGTCTAGCGCTCACGTTTGGTCATTTCATTCCCACCACATGGTGGGGGCGAGAAATGGACGGCAGAGATCAAAATTGCTGCAAGAAAGATCATTCGCATCAAACAGTAGGAAAAGCCAGAAAAACAAAAACACAAAAAATGCTGCAACATCCTCCTCCTGATGTACGTAGATAGGTATCGAGACTAAAGAGGACACGCGATGATGTATGGCATTGCATTTTCTCCGTAATGTTCAATGAATGCATGCGTGCCGCCGTGCTTTGAGGAGCACGTAGGCCATGGCTTGTCACCCGCGGCCGCTATCTGTTGCCCACCGCGAAAACCGCGCAAGGGCAACTCCAGAAGCCCAGATTTGGAACAACAAAAGAGGAAAAACACACAAAATAATGGACCAAAAAAAACAAAAAAAAAAAGGACCAGCCGGGACGGCGGCAAGAAACGCACCAAAAAAAAAAAAAAAAAAAAAAGACCAGCCGCCACGGAGGAGAAACAAACGCAGAAAAGGACCAAAAAAAACAACCACCAGCCCGGACGGGGGACGTTGGTTGTCGTCACCGCCCATCTGGCTATCATATTAGCTCTCTTCCATACCACACACTCGCCCTATCGGCCACGGCACACTTCCTTTTTTTTTTTTTTTAACTAAGCTATATATTCTTCTCTCCATTTCACCTTTCACCGCCGATGATTGGCGGGGGGCAACATGCATGCTCTTGATTGTGAGAGGTAGCTATGCTTGTAGGGGTCCACGGCACAGTCTCACCTCAACGGCGTCGTTCTTTTTTCTTCCTGCCCAACAGAAGCTTCCCAGTGTCCCTCCGACGGCGCCAGGCTCGATCGAGCAGCACACAATTACCGCCATTGACCATTACGAAAAATACTTCTGCACCAACCCCCTATCCACTTCATGTATGAGATGGACCACAACATCCACATGGATGATAGCAAGGCAGCCAAGCTAATGAGAGCAAGGCCTCCACGTGCATGCAGCAAGGCGTCCACTCTGCACCAACCCCCTGTCTGAGGTGGAGCACAACATCCACGTGGATGATAGCAAGGCCTCCATGCTAATGCCAGCAAGGGCCTCCACATGGATGGAGCAAGGCATCCACGTGGATGGACATGGCCGCCACGTGGATGGAGCAAGGCCTCCACGTGGATGGACATGGCCGCCACGTGGATGGAGCAAAGGCATACACATGGAGAATGCAGCAAGGCCTCCACGTGGATGGAGCCTAGACCTCCACGTGGATGGAGCAAGGCATACACGTGGAGAATGCAGCAAGGCCTCCACGTGGATGGAGCCTAGACCTCCACGTGGATGGAACGAGGACTCCACGTGGACGGACCAAGGCATTCAAGTGCATGGAGCAAGGCATTCACGTGGAGAAGAGCGACGCATCCACTGCCATCCACGTGATGGGAGTAAGTCACCTACGACGATAAAATTGGATGTCCCGTTGTCTACCTGCCCCTACGATTTTGTTTTTGTGATGGACCATTCCTCGATTTATGCGAGTCATCCTTGCGCAGGGGCCACATGCTCATCTATCTTCTCTCCATCGTTCCAATTTGAACGGATGCCCCCAAAACGACCTGCCCCTACATTTCGCATTCTCTTTTCGTTTATTCTTTCTTTGAGTAATTAAAAGCGTCACTGGTCCGATGGGTCTCTCGCTCATACTACGGTCGCATTCTCTTTTCGTTCATTCTTTCTTTGAGTATTTAAAAGCGTAACTGGTCCGATGGGTGGGTCTCTCGCTCATACTACCGTCGGGTCAAAAGATAAACCTATTTTAGAACTTACCACCCGTTGCTACTTCTTATAAGAAAAGAGTGCGAACTCTCAAGGCCCTTCCACGTAAAAAAAAAAAAAAAGTTAGACGAACTCAAGGCCCTTCCACGTAAAAAAAATAAAATAAAAATTAGTACGAACTAAAGGCCCATCCACGTAAAAAAAAAAAAAGTTGAAAAACTCAAGGCCCTTCCACGTAAATAAAAAAAAAAAGAAGTTCGTACGAACTCAAGGCCCTTAAAAAAAAAAAAAGTTACCGCTCCTGCACAGACATTTCATGATTTTCATCCAGTCTGAAGCTATCAGTATTATCTTAGACTTGGCCGCATTGCCGTCTTTCAGCTTTTCCCTTTTCGGACTGGGCGAAGTGTCTGTACAGGAGCCGTAACGGATTGTTTTTTGTTTTCTTGCTTTCCTTTTTTTTTTGCAGTAAGGGATTGTGACACTGTACGTGGACGACAAAATAGCGTTGGCCTCTCTGCTTCTGCTCTAATCTATCTTCTCCATCGCTGACTCATCTTCCCGCACCCTCCGTTCTTTTCTCTCTGCCCTGCTTCATCGCTTACTCCTCTTCTCCACCCTCCGTTTTTTCCTCTTAGCCCTCCATTATGCGTGTACCTCTCTCTCTCTCTCTCTCTCTCTCTCTCTCTCTCTCTCTCTCTCTCTCTCTCTCTCNCACTCATTCCGTCTTACCCCCAGTCATTGGTGTCGAACAGGACAATGGACTCGTTCCAATCAATCAATTGCAAAACTACCCTCCAATTTCTTCCTTTCTTCTCTATTTTCATTTACTGTTCGATCCAAAAATCGCAATATTGCCCTCTTCTTTTTTTTTAATCTATCTTCGTCTATTGGTGGAGTTTTCTTTTTTTTTTATGTCCATCGCCCCATCCTTTCTCATTCCCGTCTTCCCGCTTCGTTCTTTCTTTTTTCTTCCTTTCTACATATATCGTTTAAAGGGCGCCATCGCCATATCCCGTCTATTCTAACTTCTTCTCTCTTTTTTTTTCTCCTCTTTTTTCCCTTTCTCTTTTCTTTTCTTTGCTTTTTCCTCTTTGCTCATGTCGTCCTCATCCTTCCTTCATCCTCAAAGTCTTTCTCAGCATCGTCGCGATCACAGAGCCGCAAATCATTGCCACCATCACCTTTGTGGGAATGTACCTTAACCCCAACATCCCCTAACTCAACCCCAACATCCCCTAACTCACGTGGTGTTCCTATAACGGACACAAACGGATGTCTTGTTCGTTATTTCTTCCAAGAAACACAACTCAATGTCTTCAAGCTAAGAGGAGAGCAGATGTTATTTCTTCCAAGAGACGAGCACAACTCACTGTCTTCAAGCTAAGAGGAGAGCAGATGACAGCGAGAAAGCCGATATTGATTCCTCCTTTTTTTGTTTCTATTTTCCTTTTATTGTTGTGGTCAGAATGCCGCGACAGCAGTGGCGTAGATTCTTTTCGACACACGACGAGTTCTGAGCATAGCGGCGGTGATTATGTCTATATTCAGAAGATTCTTTTTCCTTCTTCTGAATTTCTCTCTGGAGATAAGAAGAGCGAAGAGGGGGAGCGGGGGTGGGGGGTTGCAGCAGAGAAGCGGGTGTTCTGAAGGACAGGAATGATGATTCCATTTTTGACATACTATCACCTTATGTAAACTCTGGCGCGCAGCGCTTCGGGTCAGGGAAGAGCGAAGAGGGGGAGGGAGAGGGGGTACGGGGGTCGGGGGTGGGGGACTGCATCAGAGAAGCGGGTGTTCTCAAAGGAAAAATGATGGTGTCTTTTTTTTTTTTTTTTTTTTTTCTCTTAGAGGGGTGGGGGTGGGGGTGGGGGGTTGCCGCAGAGAAGCAGGAATGATGATGTCATTTTGGCCATATCACCTTATATCAACTCTGGCGCCCAGCGCTTCCAGTCCCCGCACGTGGAGGTCGATAGGTCTGGCCCCAATGTTGCAGCCCCCAGGCAAGGGGACCACAGCCTCTCCATGTCTGGCAAGCAGCGATCCCACGACGAAGAAGCTAGCACGCAATTTGCGCACAGTGTCCGGACAGGGTTCTGACGATGTCAATCCCGACGCATCTATCCCGACGACAGACTCGGAGCCGTCCATTCCACGCGTCACTTTCGCGCCCACCGACTGCAAAACTTGGAACATCCTCCTGATGTCGTGAAGATCGGGCACCATGCGCAACATCAACGGCTCCTCGCAGCAAAGAGCTCCCGCTAACACCGCCAAAGCGGAGTTTTTCGCCCCACTGATGCGCACATGCCCCTCTAGTACCCCTCCGCCCGTTATCTCTAAGCATTCCGCTAGCAGCGCCGGCTGTTGCGCCGCGGTCAGCAAGGACGCTGACGACGACGCGCTCGAAAACGACGCGGGAGAGCCGCCGCCCTGCTGCTGAGACGAAGGATGATGAAGATTCTGATGATGGTGCTGTGGCGGCGGCGCACTCCTTCCCCCCTGTAGCGGCGGCGGCTCGAGGACGGCGTCGGCCGTGCTGGCTAGATTGGTGCTGTACGTGGCATCGACACGCGGCGGACCCATCATCCTCGGAACCCCCCCCCCTCTCTCTCTCCTCGGTGCCGCTCCCCCACCATCTGCCTGGGCTAGGCGGCACGGTGGTCCATATATCTTGCCGCCCGCCGCCGGCCGCCTTCTCGACTTGCCAGCGTGAAATGCGTCGGGGAAGAACGATTTCGCTTTCTCTAATTGCCTCGTCAGCAGGGGCGTTTTCAGAGCCCTCGAGGCCGCGGCGGCGAAGGCCCCTCCTCCTCCTCCTCCTCTCCCACCTCCCCCAACTGCTCCACCCACGTGCTTACATCCAATAGGCGGGCGCACACTGCTTGCGCCTTTACCGCCACATTGCCCGACGAACACACGTGTCGGCTCCAGATGACTGAACCTACCCCGTCTCACGCCATCGTCATCCACCGCACTTCTTCCTTGTCCCAGCGAACCACCAGAAGACAGTAGCGATACGGTCCTGACTTCAGCGACAGAGTCCATCGCTGGCTGCCTGCCACTTCCTGCCGGCCTCCCCAGCACGACGGCCCCGCCCTATGTCGGGACGCCGCCAACCACGGCTCCGTAAAGAAGAGGGCGGACAGAGCGGGGAAAGGGGGGGGGGAGGAGGAAGGAGAGGAACAGAAAGAGATGAGTAAGAAGAGGGGAGAGAGAAGAGACAGACACAGAGGATAGAGAGAAGAAGGAGAAGAAAGTGAAGAAGAAGGTGAAGAAGAAGAAAGAGAAGAAACGGGAGGCGAAGGGAAAGGGAGGGTGGGAGGAAATGGAAGGAGGGAGGAACGGGAGGCAATGGAGTGGAGATGTGCGGCCGGTAGCCGGAGGTGGGTGGCGCTTTCGCGCCGACCACAGCTTCTCCTGGCGCGCTCACCCCATGAACTGCTGGTGTCTCGTTCGGTAAAAACAAATGAACGGCGAGTAACTTTATTCAAAAATGCCCCAACGGCGCCAACCCGGCGGGAGGGGATGTGAAATGTCCCAACGGCGCCAACCCGGCGGTAGGGGATGCGAACCTCTCCTCTCTCTTCCCTCCTCTCTCTTCCCTCCTCGTCGTCCTCCTCTCACATTCCTTTGTCCGCTTACATCACATTTCCGCCGCAGCGATGTTCCTCCTGTCGCTGCCCAACTTTTGATCTCTAACACCCACCCACCAGCTTCCCATCCTCGCACTTGTCCACCTCGGTTAATTCCTTCCTTCCCATGCATGGTCAGCCACAGACACTGACTGGTACGTTCCCCTGCCCCCTGCCCCGCCACCCCCGCCCGAGTTGCGCGCACTTGTCTCTGTCGTTCCTTCCGCCCACAAAGCCTTGGCTTCGTGCTGTCCCTGGCTGCGCTGTGCTGAGGCACTCTCTCCCCCTCTCTCCCCCTCTCTCTCCCCCCTCCTCCCCCCCCCCCCCCCCCCCCCCCCCCCCAACCCCCACCCCCGCTCCCCCCCCCCCCCCCGCCCGCACCCAGCCCGGCCCGCGCAACGGAAATCGGTACCAGACAGACACTGACCCCGCCGAAAAACCAGAATGAATGATTCTAACAATAACGAAAACACGTAATGGGCGCTCAAACCTTCGGCGGGTAACAGGTGCCGTCACACACGCCGTCACAACACGCCGCACACGGCCGCGCTCGTTTGTCCTCGCTTGTTGCCCGCCTCGCCCTGAGGGCATCGCAACACCACTCTCGAAATGTTCACAATGAGAATGAACTTCCTGCTGGAACAATGGCCAGATGCGCCCGCCACTCTTTTTTTTTTTTGTCTTTTTCACATTTCGAGATTGGTACGGCGAGGCCCTGAGCTGGCGCCCTTCTGCTCACACGCCAGCCTCGCCCTCTCTGACATCTTGCGGCTGCAACTGCACGTGTCAGAATCTCCTGTGCCACGATGGCAAAACAATCGGGCGCCCGACACTGCGCAACCCCGCCCAACGTCGCCACCGAGCTCCCGCGCGACTGTCTCCGGCCACTGCTTGCGCTCTGTATAGCGCGGGGTCGAGTGCCCAACATGCCGGCGGGGGCAAGGTCCCACTTGCACGGACTAGTAGATCTCGGCCGTTGATGTTCTCTATCGACGGTCAATATCTCTTAATTCGTGCAAGTGGGACCCAGCCCAGCGAAAGCCTTCCACCCTTCCCCACACTCCAGGTCCCATTCACCTCTGAATCCTTCATTTGTGGCCGTCGATCGTCATAAATCTACGTTCGGAAGCGAAGAATCTGAGTGTGAGTGGGACCTTGGCCCCCCGCACTTTCCCCCCGCAACCCCGCTCATCCCCGCCGTCCCCGTCTTCCCCGCCTCCGTCCCCGTCCGGAGGGTTTGCGGTTTTCGCGGTTTTCAGAGAAAAATGAAATGAAAACAGATTTTGCGGTTTCATCGCTGAATTAAAACTTCGTAGTAAAAAAAAAACAAAAAACAAACTTTCGTAGTAAATCGATGATGAGCTTCTTCATCATTCCCAAAGAAAAAAAAAAAAAAAAAAGAGAGCTCCTTCATCGCACTGGCTGGACTTCGCCCTCGATCACATCCAATCGACGGCTGATCGACATTTAAAAAGGAGGATTCAGCCTCCTGATGAGTCGGTGCAACTCCGAGGAAACAATCTTGACATTTTAAAAACCAACAACACCGGCTTACCGCTGCCTCTGCTGATGGCGTTCTCTTCCAGTTAAAGATTGCTACCTGTCGATCGAAGGGCGGCGGGGGGGGCAGTGAGGCGAAGTGGGATTAGGTTGGCAAGAAGACAGCGACAAGACGAAAAGGACGCAATTAAAATAAAAAAATTATAATAAAAAAAAAACAGAGAAAACAAGCATTTGAAGTGCTAGATTCGTCTGAAAACAGAAAAGTGCTAGATTCGTGGTCAACAATGCCCTTCAGCTTCTGCCCGTAGATCCTGCCAATCGACGGCCGCAGCTCGTCCATCGGCTAGCGACGAAGATCTTGCAGGGCTCATTGGATTGGACCCCGCCTTCGTTGCTGGCTGTCTCTGAGGACTTTTTCGGCTGAGCTCTGGACTGGATCGCGGTCATATATTATGAGTCCGCAGCGGGCTGTAATTGCGTTCAGATACATGTAGAAAAGTCCTGAGATGAGGTACGTCGAGCCGGCCCGCTTCTGCTTCTGCACTCACAATCCAGCGGACCGGGGGCAAGGTCCCACTTGCACGGATTACGAGATTCTGACCGTTGATTTGTGCTATCTACGGTCAGTATCTCTTAATCCGTGTAAGTGGGACCTAGCCCCGGGAGGGCCTTCTTTTTTTCTCTTTCCTTTTTTTTGCCCCTTCATTCATGAGGGCCTATTTAAGTTTCGGCGATGGCTCGACAAACATTGAGAGAACAACATAAGAACAAAAAGAAAAAAGTCCTAGACTATAAGTGTGAGCGGGCCCTGAGGGCATACCCAGGGCCGGCTCACACTGCCTCAATCTTAAATGTATTTGACGGCATTGACGGACGGACCTGGATGCATCTGACCTCAGCTACACACATAAAATAAATAAATAAATAAATAAGTGAGAAAGTCCACGTGTGACTGTGTGAGTATGCCCTCACTCACACTCAGACTTTTTTTTCGACTGAGCTCTCGCCGTAATTGCGGTGAGATAGATCCAGTTCATGGTCTAAGGGCCAGATCCCACTGGAAAAGAGGATTGGATTAAGTGTCTGAAGCTGGACGTTCCACGCAAATATGCAGAAAAGCAGACCAATCACAGTTTTTTGCACCTCTAAACAAACACGTCCAGATTCACACACTTATTCCAATCCTCTTTGCCAGTGGGATCTGGCCCTAATTCCTGTCAGACACATTCCAGTCCCTCCGACTCCAGCCCCGGGGCCAAGTCCCACTTACCTGAATTCTCAATTCCCGGCCTTCGATTAGCAAGCTCGACGGCCAGAAATGAAGAATCAGCGTGAGTGGGACTTGGCCCCCCGACTACCGTCACGGTCTAAGTCCGCTCAGACACGTCCAGGAAAGTCTTGCTCTTTACGGTCGTCTCAGCTGTATCGTCAAATCGTCAAAAGTGAAGGCGGCCACTACTGCCCCCTCGTTCATTCACTATGCTCTCAGAAGCTTGAGGGTCACCGCAAGAGTTGTCAAATCGGCCGTCGTCTGATTATCTGACAGACCCTGTGGATCTTGCAGCGTACTCGACGGATTGAACCCGAAGCTTCTGCCGTATAAGCCCGACGAAGTTCATCTGTTGGCACACCCGTCCAGGATTACCTCGGAGGCTCACGACCCACACAGGAGACCGATGTCCGACGACGGTCTCTTCTTCTTTTTTTCCGTTTTTTTTTTCCCAACCTCGGAGACTCACGACCCAGACGGGAGACCGATGTCCGACGACGGTTTTTTTTTTTTTTTTTTTTTTTTTTTTTCCGACGACTGTTTTTTTTTTTTTTTTCACTACCACGGCCGGGGAGGCTCCATCTATTGGTGGGGAGCAGCACCTGCTGGAAATCGGGTCCAGCGTCCCTGAACATTGTACTTATTCATGTGACCAGTCATGCAGTTGTGACAACATCAAGCTAGCAAGCCACCAAGCTACCAGGCTTACCTGTTCTGAATGGTGATCAGCCAGTAGAGGTACACAGTGGCCTGAGCGGCATGCCTATCAGACCTCCCTTGGTGAGACATGGTATGCCCCATTGCCACGACTACAGCTAGAAAAACCAACATGCATTTGTAGTGACTGTCGTTATGATACCAGTAAGCTACCGAGTTCTCGTGCTGAATGGCGCAGTTGGGGGGAGGCGACGGTGTTCGGGATCCGTTCGAGGTAGGAGACGAGCTCGGGGAGGAGGCGGAGGGTGAGATCAGGGGAGATGGCCGGAGCGAGTAGTCGGGGGGGATGGCGGGGGAGAAAGGCGACAGTCAGACGGGATCGGGGGGGATGGCGCAGTTGGGGGGAGGCGACAGTGTTCGGGATGGAGGGGCAGGAAGTCTGGATCGGGGGGGATGTGACACGCAACCTCACGCCCTGTGCTGTCTTTCGTTCGGAGTGCTAAGAGTGCGGAAAGAAGGCCCAGAAAAACAGCAAGATGGGGTGTGCCAAGGATTTTTGGAAAATTGAGTGTGGGGACACAGACAGAACTGAAATCCCCCGTGTTGGCCCGATGAAGTAAGTCGGTTGCTTTCGCGCGTCGCGGAATGCTCGCGCGGGCACGGCGCAAAAAGCGAAAAATCCAAATTCAATCCAAAAAGTATTGTCGAGCTTCCCACCGCGCTACGGATCTTCGTTTAGAGCGGAAGGGCTTCGGTACACTCCGCGTGACCCGTTTCCGTATCAAGTCCCGACGTCGCTCGTTGGTCAGTTCCGAGTTCGACGTGGATGGTCTCGGCCGCGTGGCTCTTTCCTTGTGCTCGTCTTCACTCCGTATCCGGTAGTGGAAGCCCTTTGATTCGTAGCGATCGAAACGCTGGCACTCAGTGCACAGGGTTCGAGGCCAATGGGGCGCCACTGCTGTCCACGGAATGACGATCAGCTCGTTAAATGGCAACAGTACTGAGTAGGGTGGGAAGTGCG